CCCCGTGCTCGCCCCTGTCTTGGCCCCAGGTGGGATGTTACATCCCGGGCCGCGGCTGCTGAGCGGTGCCTCAAGGTGCCCCCGGCCGCTTGGCTAAACCCTCCGCCCCAGTTCCCGCGGGCTCTGGGCCGGGTTTGGGAAGCAGCTAGTCTGCGGAGATGAGGGGCCTTGCTCCCTGACTCTGCAACAGCCAGTTCTCGCGCCCCTCGCCCCTAATGGCGAGGACCATCTGCTGATCAGATTAGGCCCTGAGCCCACTCAGCCGCCAAGGCCAAGGCCGGAGAGGGACTTACTGTGTCCTTGTCCATTTCCTGGGACCAGACACAGCGTGTTGGCCCGTGTGTTGGCCCCAGGGTCCACAGCGGGTCAACTACAGAACCAGGACCTGGGCTCCCTGATCCCCGCCAGGAGACTTCCTCACGACCCCCTCTCTGCAGGCCTTCTGCCACAGTACATTTCTGTAAAACAGGCTTCACCTGGCTCCTCGGCTCTGCCCGGGGCTGTGTCCCCACCGTTTCTGTCCTCTCCCCTGCCCCCTTCAGGAGTCAGCCCTCCTCCTGCACCCTCTTAGGAGCCCAAAAGGACCCCCTCCTGGAACCAGGCCCGACACACCTCCCTGGCAAACACCCACACCTGGGTCCCACCACAGGGCCCTTCACTGTCAGTTCTACTGCAGGCCCAGCCCTCCCCTCTCGGAGCCTCAGAGCCCTCCACTGAGTCTCCCGTCTCACCCTCATCCCACGGCAGACAGCCTGATCATTTATGTGAAGTGCTTGATCCTCTAGTTGGCCTTAAACCTGACCTAGCCCAGATCAAATGCTTGCTGGATGTTAATGTTAATTATTAGTTCACGTGGAAATAGCAGTATGTGGTGGTCATAAAGTTCTTCCTGAGCTGAAGAGGGGAGGAAGTTGGCCCTTTTGAAATCCTTACCTGAGACTTTGTATATGGTGTTTAATATTCACAGCAAATCCTAGGAGGTTGGCGGTGCCATTTTTTTTTTCTTTAACTGAGGTTCAGAGGTTAATTGACATGCTCAATATCATATGGATAATATCTGGCAGATTGGGGTTCAGTCTAAAGTTTTAATTGATCAACCAGTGCTAAGTGCTTGGTTGTGACAGGCCTGAACCTGGACGGGGGTGGGCTAGGTAATCACTTCCTTCCACCCCCATCATTGCCCTGAGTCAGGCCACAGGGACACCTCCCCAGAGCTGGTGGAGTGAGTGAGCCCTCGCTAATCCCTTCAGCTCCCTAAGCTCCTTCTGTGCCAGCCTGTCTGGTGACAGGCTGTGCAGGGCTACTCTGGTCCTGATGCATTTCCAACAGGCAAGGACAGGGCCAGAGATGGGGTGAGCAGCTTATCAAGGTAGCAATGACAATGATGGTAATAGCCACCATGTAAGACGTGAGTGTTGGATGGTCTCAGAGCCTCTCTCCAGCACCTGAACCCTTTTACCCTACCCTGAGGAGATCCCCCACTTGGTCATGGGTCCCAGGGCAGCCCTCTGAAGCCTTGGTCTTCTGTGGCTGCAGGAAGGTGTCCAGCCACTGCAGGGTCATCAGCCCTCGCAGTGCAGGGTCCTTGTCTGCAAGCCATGCAGCTGGCACTGACAAGCTGGCCTTCTGTTCTGCTTCCTTTTGGAACATTTCAAACTGGGGCATCTGCTTTGCTGAGAGCCTATGCAAATACTTTAAAAAGTTCACAGAAAATGGAATTAAAGTATGAGTTTGTGCCAGTGCAAAAATTTTTGAAATCCGTGCTTAGTTTTTTCATAATACACATTTTCCATGACCTCTTTATAGAATCCTCATGTAGAGACCTGAGAGAGGTCGAGGAGAGATTCGAAGCAGGTGGCAGGTACCTCCATAGAGGCCCGGCTTCTCAATGCAGAGTAAGAGGCTGAGGCAGGGTTAGTGCTCCTTGGATGGAATGCCCCAGACACACATTGCATCATTCCTGGGTCATTGTCCACTGTCCCAGGACTTTGCCTGGATGCCAGCCTTTCCCCAGGCAGAGGGGTTCCTGGACCAAGAACTGCAG